TGTATGGCAGGGTGCTGGAGGGGAGAAAAGCCTGTGTCCCCTCATCCAGTGAGCACCTTGCGGCACCGTCTGACTGAAACTAGGTGGATTTTGTTGCTGCTGCTTGGGCTTTCCTTTTGAGACAGGGTCAAGGTTAGGCACAAAAGTCTTGTTTCGACTTAAAGAGCTTGGTGGCTGGTTGGGCCTGAAGTGAAAGCTAGCTGTGGGATGTGTTTATTCATGATAATACTTTGCAAGTGTCTTCTGCGGTATAACAACCAACAGGTCTTTTTGTCCTTTGCTTTGTGGCCACTCCTGGTACGTGGCCTTGGGCTTGTTTACTTTCCTGACATCCCCCTTGGAGGGGGGATGCAAGATTCTCAATCTCCTACAGTATTGTGCTGTTTTAGATTAGATGTAGATTAGGAGCAATGCATTTTCAAAAAGAGACTACAATTCTTATGTAATGTGTGAGGCAACCTATCACTTCATCTATGTAGGAGTGTGAGCCTTGCTTTAGACTTGTGTTGTATTTGTACATCCCTTAACATGTTTTTGAAGTCCATTTTTGAGCTATTAAGACAGTCTAGAACAAGGCTGGTCTCTTTGGGACTGCAGATATTGCTACACCAAGGTATTCAAGGGGTGTTTTCAGCTGTCTGCTACTCTGGAATCTCTTTCTCATGCTTTTCCAAGTTGATTTAGTTTACTGCAGCAGCTGGTTGAGCAACAGGAAAGATCCTAACAGTGGGATAAACAAAATAATAAGAAGCTTCTGCCTTATCCAATGTTTGCATAATCTGCAGAATATGATGAAACTAACTGATGGGAAATGCCTCTTAAGAGTGTTGCAGCCTGGAGCTGCAGGCTTTCCAGGCTGAGTCAGGGAAGGGCAAAAGGCAGGGGAGTCAGAAGAATACACTTTTTATAATTATGTAAATGTGAGCAGTGGGGGGGAAAGCATTTTGGGTCAATTTTGTGGCTTGAAATACAAGTATTTGTGCTATTTTTTTGCTACATAGCTGTCATTGCATGCTCTCTAGGGTGCTCAGAGACTGCAGCAATTGTGAGCACACTCAGCGTTCCTTGTCTAGTGAGGAAGGTGTTCAGGTCAAAGTTACTGCAAACATGTTTCTGCTTATGTTCTTCTAGGCTTTTGGACAGATCTTCTTACTACCACTCTTAATACGGTAAGAATGGGGAGTTTTTCTTTTTTTTTTTAAAGATGCTTGCATTGCACACCACTTGCAGATTACCTGAAATGATCTTTTCTAAGAGGGAAGCTGTGTAACTTGATTGGAGAGTGAGCGAGATTATGTCACAGATGTTATTTACTAGATTACTTTTTTAACTACTCTGTTTTGAGTGGGTCTCTATCAGGAGAAATTAACCTTTTTTCGTACTCAGCAGGTGCATGGGAACCGAATTCACCAGCTTGCCTCTTTGCCTTTGTGTTCTTTTGCTGAACAACAGTCTTTCTTTCCAAGTTTGCGGACGTGTGAATATGCTGTGTTTATCAACAGCAGTGGTAAAAGAATAGCAGTACTGGGGAAATGAGGCCAGACATGAAGTTCAGAGGTTTTAGTATGTTCTTTTAAAAGATATTCACTCTTTTAGGTCAGCCTTTTTTTCCTCCTTTGTCACTTAATTTTTTGTTTAGAACCTGTGCTTCCAAGCGTACATTGCACTAAGAGCCACTCATGTAAGAGGTGTCAGGAACCTCAGGCTCACGCTTGGCTCATGTAGTTTGACCATCATTTGATCAGTCATCTGTGCAGATCCCACAACGCTGAGAAACATATTAAACGCAATTGGTACCCCAGAGTTTTTACTTGGAGGGTGGGCTTTTTGAGTGAATCAAACCCTGACAAGTGTCACTGCTGTTATACAGCAGATCGTTCCTTGACATCTATGATAGGGCCTTGATGTCCTTCCTTTATTACGTGTTCCAAGCTCTGGACTTGGGCTGCAATTCCTGTTGTATTTGGTTGCAAGTGAACTATGTTGAAGCAGGTAATGGAAAAGTTTGAAGAGGTGCTTGTTTTAACAGGATTACTGCTTGAATGTATGCCTTATACTACTTTCTGTTTTTCTTTTCCTCTTTATTCCTGTCTGTATTGGTGTGTGGGTGATATGGCTAATTAAAGTGAATAAAAAACTTTCACCAGTTCTTTCCACACTTGAGTTTACGGAGGCTGGCTGACCTTATGTCAAGAGGTAGGAGGCTTTGTTAAGCAAGCAGAATGGATTTGGTGCTGCCTTTAGGAAAGGTGTGAGAGATTATCTTGTAACTGTTGTAACTGCCTGCTGTGAGAGCAGACTGCTAAAACAAAATGTTCTTGGGTAAGGTCCCCCCTGAACAGTCTGAAAAATTAGTCATGTTAGAGCTTGCAAACTCTAGCAGTGACTCTCTCCCTGTCAGGCTGAACAACTTCTCGCTCATGCGTTCACTTGACATTCATGAAGATCCCACGTTTTTCCCGGAGGTTGCTGCGAAGGTTACGGAAGACAAGTCTGAGGCTGAGAGCACTTCGGATATAATCAAGCGGCTGTTAGATGCAAGGTCAGTATGGGATGCCTAAGACTGGAATGGAGGAACACACATGTTGGCACTATTATATTAGTGGGAAGCTGCTGTCGTCAGTAATCTGGATTAAAATACTTTTCTACGCCTGGCTACTTTTTGAAACAAATTGTGCTGTCAGTCAGCTTTTCCTTTTGTAACTTATAAATCACCAGTAGTTAAAGCAATGTGAAGTTTCTACAAGCTTCAGGGAGTCTGCTTAGTGCAGGGAGAGACTAAATTCTGCCCCTGCCAGGGCTCTGGTTGCACTATTAGTGCAGATATACTTATTGGTTGACTAGTCAGCACATACATTTCTTTAAGTAAGTTTGCAGGTGTGCTGTTTCTTGCCTGCAAGGAATCTCAAAGAGAACACAGGGGTTGCTTGGAGGAGAGAAGGAACACAGGTTATAAAGAAAATGATCCACAGGAAATTAGACTTTGTTAGTTAGGTTGCTTGGATAAAAAGCCTTTTCAGCTTCTTGATTGTAGCCTGTACTTGATTAAATCGCACTAGATTCCAGGTGAAATGCTACTTAGGCTTATGTGTCCCGCTGAGGTGGAGCAGCTGGGCTGCTATGAATGCTCTCCTCATCTGGTTTTGTTCTTAGTTGTGGGCCTATCCAATAGTTACTACAGATGTCTGTGAGCTGAACTTCATCAGTGTCTGAAGTGTTTCACGGAGTAGGTTCTCTGTGTGTATTTCTGCTTTTAGCAAGACTAAGCTTGCTCCCTGTTTGAGTTATTAAGCTGGATCAAGGAAAACCTTTCAGCTCCTTCACTTTAGAGGGAGGGATGTATTTCTCTGTTTCCTGCAGGTGTTGGTTAGGGTGAGTGCAGCCTTCCCCAGCCATGTCCCCAGCAGTACCAGTGATATATTATAGTGCCTGTTACAGGGCATGTTCCTGGAGCTTTGCGTCTCCCCTGCACAGGAGTGCCATACACTGTCCTGTTTCAGGGTATGGCTTCTGGGTTGGGTGATGATACGGAGACATCATAGGAGTAGTAACTGTAGCTATCTCTTCAGATGGTTTTATATTCATCCTGTTGTGATGAGAAATGGCTTATCTCTTATGTATTAGAGCCACTGACTTAGTTTTTAAGCAGTTTGCCTATGTGTGCTGCTTAGTGTCTTTTCCTCTCTGCTGCCTGTGCTGCTGGCTATCTTTGGTTGAACTTGTGACAGATCCTGGGAGTAGGTTTACCAGAATATTCTAGCTATTCTATAATGCTTCAGTGGTGAGTAGCATGTATTAATGTAAACCTGGAATAGATTTTGAACAGTTTAGCGACTGCTGTATTGCAGTAGAAATATGAAGCAAATAGAACATGTCAGCAAGACTAACCTCTTATTTGTGTAGCACCCTTGGTGTCTTGCATGTGTGCAAGGAGCCTAACAGAGTGTGAGATGAAATGCGGAGGCTAGTGGTTGAAACAGTGACCAGCAGGTTTACTGTGAGTGAGTGGTGCCCAGCCTGCATTGGACTGTGATACTGAAGTCTGCAGCTCTAAGCAGAGGTGGCTTTGACAGTTCATAGTTGCCCCTTTAATCCTTTCTTTGCAGGTCTGATTCTTCTAGCAATGGGTTTTGCTTCAAAGGGATCAAAGACTACCTGGACTGCTACCGGTAAGTGAAATTCTGATCTGGGAACAACCTGTCTTGCACATTCCCCTGCTGTGGGCTGCTACTCTCCCATAAGCTCTCAGGCATCTCTTTGTTACAATTGTCCTTGAGGTACCACTGTTTAGCATCACCCTCTGCAGTCCTTTTCCTCTAATAGAATAACAAAGCAAAGCCAACTGGGAGAGCTAGCACAGCTTTTACAAGCCCTGCAAGGATATTTAAATTCTGTTTTCCTTGGCTTATTGTCAGTTCTCGCTGGGAGAGATTTTGACGTACCTTGTTTGCCCAAACAGGTGAGTGAGAAGGAGAGGGAGGTTCATCTGGATGATGTGAGTTGCACATACTGTGGGTCTCTGAAGAATTCCGTGGTTCCCCAGCTGCTTCTGCTCCTGTGAGCAGTTTGCCTGCTGTCACCCGGTAAACATGTCCAGCTTGGGAAGAGCTGGAAGCACATCCCCGACTCTGAGGTTATGTGAGCTGTTGTCTGCTCAGTATCTCCTGGTTGCCTCTGGGACATGTGCCAGATGTGGGGCACTCAGATAAATCCTCTTGTGCTCCTGGCACTTGTTCCTGAAGGGCTGCCTCTGCCAGCAGGCTGCAGCCTTGGAGCAAGAGGCTGACACTGCAGTCAGATGTTGTAGGTGCATCCTCTGGCTGTGAGGCTTTCATGTCAGCCAGAGATAGATGTGTTTGTAGTAGAACGTAGCTTTTTGCCAGGAGGGAGGGAAAGCTTGTTTGTTAAAGGTAGGTTATGACAGTACTGCTGTGAGCCCCTTCTCTGTAACAGGAGGCCTGTATAAAGGGGGCTGTATTCTTGGTCTTAGCTGATGATAGTGGGAGTTTCCTAGCCTCAGGCTTTCAGGAGCTTGAGGGTTCCATGTAAAGCTGTCAGCTGTCCTTCCCTGTTTGTCTGGTGGTTCAGGAATATCTGGATAACTCTCCTAGCTCCTGCCCCTACTCTAGGGGTTGGGGGTGTGCCATGTAGGCTAATTCTCCCCTTAAGGAAGGGACTCTTCTGTCTTTATGGTGTCAGTGGTGTCAAAGTCATCACCACACACAGATTCTTACCTAGTTCTTGCTTACAGCTGTGACAGCTGTCATCCTGCTACATGAGAGACAAATCCTGTGTGTGGATGTGGTGTGGGGGTCTTGTAACAAGGTCCCAACTTCTCCTGTCCTGTAGGAGTGGGAAGCTGACGCCATCTCAGGTAGCAAAGAACATCATTGCCATGCTGGAGGACTGCGACAAATCCACGCCCCCACTCAGAGCGATAGTGCAATGGGACCAGGAACAAATAATGCTGGTAATGTCTGCCTCTGGTAGGAAAGGGGCCTCTGCCACCCCAAGAGCAGTAGCATCTATTAGAAGGGGCAAAGGCTCTTCTGCTGATACATTGCACAGAAAAATATGTACATTTTTTCCTCCCTCCTTCTGTGGAGAAATACAGACATGTTTGCTTTCCTTCCTGCAGAGAGAGGTAGCGTTAAAGCAATCTGTTTCCTGCTGGATGACTATTTTTACAATAGGACCTCTGTGCTTATGTGCCATCCATTAGCATAGATGCTTCCAAATAGTAGTTTCCCATCAGCATATAGTGGAAGAATAAAGAAACTTTCATACTTTGGTGTGGTAGCAGCCTGAGAAAGCCATTTTTGGTATCTGTTCTGATACTGGTAATGACCTTCAGCTCAACTATATATGTATAACATACTTTTTTTTTTTTCTCTGTGCAGATGGCTGAGGCCTCCACTGCTCGTTACAGAAATAAATGTACCTTGTCTTATCTGGATGGCATCCCAGTGTGTCTGAAAGAAGAGTTCAAAGTGGTGAGTTTCCTTGTCTAGATGTCAGTTCATGCTGCAGGTGGTCAACCTGGACAACTCACTGCGACAAGGTTTTAAGGCCAACTCCTTAGCAGAAGCCTGAGAATATGTTTGTAATAAGGAGCAGTATGTGGGTTTGTAATGAGTAGGATTAACAAGTTTTGCCAGGTGAAGATGAATCTTGGGTACAGCAGATGTGTTCCATATCTTGTACTGATCTCTTTAATCCATGGGGAGCAGAGAGTTGGGGTGGGAAACAGTCCCTTTTATGATTAAATGAGTGCATAAAAGCATCTGTAGTGGTGAATGTAACTGTCTGTAATTCTCAGGCTGACTCTGCTCCATTGGCAAAGCATCTCTCTCTTCTTATGTAAAGGACGTGTGTCAGAATTATGCAAGTTGCTTTGAAAATCCCCACTCACAAGGAGTTTTGCCTGTGGCCTAAAAACAGTTACTATTAAATGCTCCTGGCAGTGGAATCAAGCTGTCATAAGCTCTGCAGAGACCTACTCATAGGGTGGGAGTCCTGTTTATGTACAGATTCTTCCATTGCTGCATCAAAGTGAAGAGTACTTAGCATACCCTGAAAATGAGTCCATCTGGCATTTTGGCATTCATCTGATCTCGGTGTCTTGCTTCAAAGCACTGCAGATCTGAAATGCTGCAGCTCTGTCTATAGAAAAATGGAAAATGGAGCTCCTGTGTCCTGTGGGAACAAGGTGACTGTTTTTGAACTTCTGGGCATAGCAATTGCATTACTGCAAGGAGGCAGACTTTTTGACCATCTACATGTTTCTGCTTTTCTGTATAATGGCATTAAAAGCACTCCTCTGCATGGGAGAAGGATCAAATATTGAAGGTTTAAGCGTCCCTCCTAACAGAAGGATATCCAACAAAGAATAAGAGGAAGAGTGAAGCTTCCTAGCCCTTACCTCTGTGGGCCCTAATGTCTGGGATCTGTTGTGGGGTTGCAGCGTGTGTGTGAAGCATGCACATGTGCCTGCCTACCTTGCCAGGGTTTAATAATAAAGTGTCTTCTTGCTAAGGTACCTTACCATCACCGAGTGGGAACAGTGTATCTTGGGACAGAGCCCGAAACAGAAGATGCTACTGTGACCAAGAAGCTGCGAGAGGCGGGAGCTATCGTTATTGGGGTCTCAAACATGCATGAGCTAGGGACTGGAACAACTGGATGCAACCCTAATAGGTAAAAAACCCTTTCCTCTCTCTTCCCCCCCCCGATCTAGAAAGACCTAAAAGTCTCCCCAGAACTGACGGGAAGGGTACAAAAATAGGGCAAGCATGTGAGAATAAAACTGACAGGAGCACCTTGTGCAGGGAGAAACCTGGGTGTTTGAAAACCCAGCATTGTAGATTCGAGGGTCAGAGTAGCTGTGGAAGCCTGGAGGCTCTTGAAACCAAAGGAAGGAGTGGGTCCAAGTGGTGTCTGCTGAGTAAGGAACTTGGTTTGCAGGCCTTACAGGCCTGGAGATGTGAATGTTTACAGGATGAGTGGTAGGCAAAAGCAGTGACAGAAAACAAATGAATGGTAATCTAATGCTCAGTCACAGTAATGGCTAAAAGCCCAGAACAGTGAGGAAAGGTACAGTCATCTTAGGAGAATGTAGTGTTTTTATTTCCTAGCTTAAACAGGTTCACTGGAACTAGCCAAGCTGAGAGCTGCTGTTCCACAGCAATGGTCCTCACATCCTTGATAAGCCACGTGCAGAGTCACACTTCTTGCCTGTGCAGCTGTATGGAACTGGGGTCCACCTCAGCAGCAACAACATGCCAGGGCATTTCCTTACTGTGAGGTCAGCCAGATACTCTGCTGCTTTGCAGGTCTCTTTGGTGTCTAGGGACCATGGTCAGAGACTTTGGGAGCTGCTGCTCTGGGATAAAGGGTAGAGCTGCAGATGCTGACTTGCTTGTCTGTAATAATTGCTGGCCACCAACTGCTACACCTTTTGGAATTGCATAGTGCACTGTGGCATGCAGCAATGGCACACTGCTGTTGCAGACAGAAGAACTGGAGTGGCATCCACTCTCTTGCTTTGAGTCTGTCTCTTTTGGATAGGCTGCTTATGGTAACAAGAGATTGGACTCTGAGGCAGAAGTCTTTTTTGCATCTTGTTTTCTAGGGACATAGCACTCTCTGGGATGAAATGGTATCTCTTTACTAAGAGATCAGAATCCCTGAGCTGTGTTTCTGGATCTTTTCCTGCCCAGTAGCACACACAGTCATTCCTAGGAAAAGATTCAACACTATTTGTCTGCTTCAGGTACCACAAGATCCCTAGGAATCCCTACGAGCCTAACCACTTCACAGGTGGGAGCTCCAGTGGGTCAGCAGCAGCTGTAGCAGCAGGTAGGTGGTCCTAAATGGAGTTCAGGGGTGGTGGGAGGAAAGTTGTGAGCCGAAGTACCTTGGGCATTTAGTTTTTGTGAGGGGGTTTAGAAGCTGGAGGGAACTCCTAGCTGAACAGAGAGCTCTGTGTGCTGTTCTAGCTACAGCTGCTGGTAGAATGGACAGGGCAACAGTGGGTCTCTCTGATCACAGGCCAATGTGTGTTTTTTTTGTAGGTCTCTGCCCGGTGGCTATTGGCACAGATGGAGGCGGCTCTGTGAGGATTCCTGCTTCGTTCTGTGGTGTGGTGGGGCTGAAAGGTAGAGCCTTTTAGTCATGGAGGGGATGTGTGTCTTGTTTGCTGTATCAGATAGAATGCCACAAACAAGTCAGGCACATTAATTCCTGTCAAAGAAAACTTGACCAGAGAGACTCTGGAGTGTAACACCCTGGGAGTCATGTGGTTGGACTGGCAGAGTGGAAGTATTCTCAGTACTGGTTATTGAACAGATGTTCAAAAAAGCCTAATTTACTTAACTTACCTAAGACATGCTAAACAAAACACATGTGCTGTTTTTCTTTCTACCCACTCATCCCTCTTCAATCTTCCTTCTTTGCTAGGAGGTGTTCCCAACATAGTTGGGAATCTGTAGTGAGCTGGTGAAAAGCATCTCCACCCACCATGTTTTGCCATCACCCCAATTATATGGAGAGGCTGATGCTGCCCAGATTTGTATCTGGTAACAGGCTTGTATGAAACCAGGATGTAGCCATTCCCTTGTATTTCAGTGTTACCAGAAGTAGCAATGCAGTTTTTACGGTAAGAATTAATGTAATCAAGGAGGATGTGCAGAGGACATAAGAAATGCACAGGGCAGTGTTTACAGTATGGAAGATGGCAAGGCAAGATTGTCACTTGGAAGGGATGCTGGCTTTTGGGAATGGTTTATCATTCTAGAAGGATCTCGGCTGCTTCATCTGAGACCAGATGTTCAGCCATTGCTCTGTTGTTCCATCCTTCACAAGTGATCAGCTTGATTAATCTTGATTCATCTGAGGAAGATTGAAAAAATGTAACTGGTCAGAAAGGTGATACAAGTACTCACAGAAGACAACTGGTGTTAGGTGTGAAGTCTCACTGGTGAAGAGGGTGGGATCTCCCAGGAGGCTGGTATCTCCTGCTGTTGATTATCCTGCTCCTGCCTCTGTGTCCTCCATATAGTAGATGCTGCTTCTGCATATTTAAATGCATGTGTTTGAAAATGTCCCTGCACATATTTCCCCTTGACTAAATAATTTATGGTGGAAACCAGTTTCACTATTTGCTGCATGCATCTGTTTCACTGATGAAACAGATCATGGTCAGCAGAACAGGGTACTGAAAGATGAGTGACTGAGCTCTGAAACAGCTGATATAAAGTGACTGGCAGGAGTGTGTTGCTTACTGACTGAGTGTACCAGAGCCATCTAGCTCAGATCATACCAGCAGCTGCTGGTTTCTAGCTAACTGCCCATTTCTTTTTCTCTAGGTACATTTGGGCGCATCAGTTGTCATGGCAGCTTGCCACTCTCCTACTCTACAGTCAGTGTAGGTAAGAGGACTTGTGCTCCACTTCAGGGACCTTACTGTGTGGTGTTCTCACCAGGGAGGCAATCTGTGCCTACAAAAGACCTTGTGAAGAAGGTACTATTTACCCCTTGTCACATTTTTTAACTGATCTTTCTTTTACAGGCCCTATCTGTACCTCAGTGGCAGATGCAGCCATTGTTTACAGTATCCTTGCTGAGCCAGATCCCCTCTATCCATATGGTAAGTGAGACTTCTCCCTCCCTGAGCCCAGGTGCTCTACCTTCCTAGAGGCATCCTAGATAAAAAGGAGGAACTCTTGTTTGTTCCCTGCAGGCCTAAAACAGCCCAAAGCAACCCTATCTGGGATGTGTGCTCCTGACCTGAAAGGCTTAAAACTGGGAGTGGATTGGACATTTTTTAAGGTTGTCTGTTCTCTTTCTTTCTGCTGCTTTACAAAATGAGATTTTAAAGTAATTCAGTGCATTCACTGTTGTCTTGCCTGTCATCATTAGAGCTTCTCATATTTAGTCCTATAATTGGAAGAGAATATAGCCTGAGTGAAAACATAGATTTTTACCTAAGGGAGTCTTTTGAGTAAAAGTCTGTTGAAGGCATGAGGAAAGGTAACAGCCATATCATTCATGGCAGTATGCTTCCTCATACTGCTGTTTCTATTGGAAGCAATGCTTCTGAACTGATTACAGAAGGCAGTTAATTTAAAATTCAATGAGGAAAATTAGTGTATTGATTTGGTGACAATGCTGTAGCCGCTGTGTGGTATTTCATCATTCCAATATAGAAAATGGGCTTGCAAGCTAGTACCACTTGGCAATTGTAATGCAACCCCACAAATGTGCTCAGGATTTCCTCACAGGAGGAAAACAAGGACTCTTTCTGGCTTTGCCCTGGTGCAGAGGAGGAATATCCTCTCCTCTGGATGACCTTTTCCTTAGGAGTATCACGTGCAAGCTGTTCTCTTAGAGCAGGTGGCCTAAAGCAGTCCTGAAGGGCTGTGTTTCACTACCATTAGGGACAGGAACAAGGAAAGCTCCATGAGGACCAAAATCCTGGTGAGTGTGCTCACCAAGGAGAGGAGGGCAGTTACTAAAGTCTACTTAGTGCTTTCCTCTTTTTCTCTAGGCATGTGATGCTGAAGTCCTGTCCATCTGTGAGAAAGGTAAAGAGGAAAAGTCTGTAAGTCTTCTATTCTGCCTGATGTCATGGTATCGGTGCTCCTCTTATGTATGCATTAAAAAAGATCTTGTCTGAAGTCCTTAAAGGCAGATGCTTAAAGAAGTCTGGCTGAACAAACAGCAGTAGCTTTGTATTAGGGAAGCCCTTCTGACTGCTGAGGGTTAAAAAGCTTGGCAGTTGTAGGCTTGTCAGGTGACAATGGAAGAATGCAGTCCAGTGTGCTAAGCCTCTGTCTGTATAAAGACTGATCTGTGCTCAGTAATACTTACTTTGCAAGCTTTAATGGTAAGACTTAAGGGGGGGACTTGTTTCACAACATAATTTTCAGTAGGAAAGACAGTGCTAGGTCTTTTGTGATGTATCCAGTCCTCTGATACTTCCTTGAAATCAGACAAATGGTGCCTTTAGGGTGGCTTTGTCAGATTTTAGACTAAGCAAAATTGACCCTGGTGAGTACTTGGGGGTGTGGGAGAAAGACTCTACAATGCCTGGTGTAGTAGTTGGCCTCCTATGCATTGGAGCTAAGATAGTTCACAGTATTCAGGCTTTGTTTGCATGGATTTTCTTCAGACTCATTATTTCCATAGACACTCATGCTTCTACATGTGTAGGCTTCTCTTAGGAGAGATGCACCATAAGCCAGTGAAATAGGCAAGCTTGAGTATTTATGAAGAAGCTGGGGTCAAAGAAAGAAGGGGATTCTTTTTAGACTGCAAAAGATTAACTTTTCCCAAAGTCTTGGTGTTCAGGATTTAGTGAACCTGTACTGTTGACCTGGTCTCTTGTGTATCCCCTGGGTTCCTCTACCGCTACAGTTCGGAAGAGGTGTTGAATGGGAATCTCATGATGCTAAATAATCACTTCATGCTGACAGAATACCAGTCATGTCAAGTGCTTAGGGAAGCATTGTCAGGCCACCATTACTCTTTGGGTTAACTGAGGGGCTAGAAGGAGGACATGAACTTGCCTGAAATGTAGCGGGTAAGTTAGGAACCTGTCTGCAAGCCTCTACCCCTGCCCTGTTGGAACATTGAGATCTAGTTAGGCTGAAGGCTTTGAACTATGAGAAGCAGCTGCAGCAGTCTGCATGCCGCGTGATGCACTGAAGATGCTTGCCTTGTAATGGCCTATGGAGTCTCTAACTTCTCTAGGTGGTGGGGACTCACAGTGCTTCCATGAAGTTTGGTGAACTCAGGGATGCTGTCTGTGCTTTACCTGTTCTATATGCAGCTGTGCAGCACCTGCAGAGTTTGGGAGCCAGTGTGGTTGAAGTGTCTCTTCCAGAGATAGAGGAAGTGCGAGTAGCACATGTGATCTGCATTCTCAGTGAGATGAGGGACTTCCTGCAACCTGACTTCAATAAACATTTCCAGGAAATGGTAAGTAGCAGCAGCTTGGGTCAGGGGCAGTAGTTGTCCTGGCTGATACAGAACAAGTGTCCTGTCAGTGAAAAACCTAAGGCTCTCCTGCTTTTTCTGTGACAAACCACCTCTTGGATGAGTGCTGATACGGGAGAGCAGACCTGGAAGAGAACTCCTGGGTTGTCACATTCAGTTTCTTGCAAGCAGAGCCATGATTGATGTTTTCTCTTTCAGAATTTGGACACTCGGGCTAACCTGGCCTTGGCTTCCCAGTTCACAGCTCTGGATTATATTACGGTAAGGAACATAATGTGGTGAAGGCTGAAGGAAGGCACCTAGTGAAATTGTAAAGGTGTGGGGTAGAGGATTCTCTTAACCTCCCCATACATGTGGTCTGCTATGAAAGCACACTGAATGGTGGGGCATCACAGGGGACACCTGGACTGGCATCCTGCATCTCAATTCCAAACTGCAGGAATGGTGTCATCTTTTGCAAAGGCATAGGCTCTCATGGGCAGAGTCTGTCAACATCAGACATGAGCCTCATGAATCAAGAGGGCCCAGTCAGACAGTAGTCTCTCTGCTTGCAGGCGAATCGACAGAGAACTCGGAGCATGAGATTTTTGCAAGAGGTCTTCACCACTGTGAACTGTATCCTTACACCAGGTATTGGCAGCCAAAGAGCTGGTCCCCAACAGCTGTGTGGTACATTTTAAGACCAGTCACTCCATTAACTTTCCCTCCCCAATTTTAAGAGGATGACTTTTGAACAAATACTTTGCCTCAAGCCTTTAGAAGATAATGCAGCCTGGGTAGAAAGACTGCTGTGTATTTCTAGCCTTACTGCCTATATCCATGGCAATGAGAAGCTCCTTCTTGGTACTTGAAACACGAGCTGCAAAACCAGCACATTTACACAGGAGGGACTGGACATCTACTTATGTATACTTATGTTTCTAAATAGAAACTAACTGCTTAATTCATAAGTCCCAGTGACTTGATTGCATTCCAAGGGCATGCGTTTGCGACACCAGTGTATACCAAACATGTGGCTTTAATGAACTGAGATGTTCCTTGAAGATTGCCCACTTGCCTGATTGTTCTTTTGTTCTTTAAGCACTGGGTCAGGTTGCCTAGAGAAGCTGAGGAATATCCATCCCTGGGGGTATTCAAAAGCCATTCGGACATGGTCCTGGGCAACCTGGTCTAGCTCACCATCCTTGAGACAGGAGGTTAGACAAGATGATCTCAGGTCCCTTTCAATCTCAATAATTGTGTGATTTCTCCACAGCTGTTGCTTGCACTGCCCCAAGAATCTATGAATCTGACCTCTTGACTGGGAGCAGCGATATGTCCTTCACAGTCCGTTCCATGAGGTAAGAAGAGTGCTGCTTGCACTACGGAAGGAAAAGTTTGGGAACAGATGGAGACTAGCTGCACTAACTGAAGGAGCTCAGGCTGTAGAGCAGGAGAGATCGGTCCTAGCTGCCTCTCCCAAAAAAAGGATGACTTTGCTACTGTCCCAAGGTAGGAATGCTGATGAAAGCTTTTCCCCCAGGTTCGTGCAGCTTGGTAACTTCACTGGGATTCCAGGCCTTGTGGTCCCCATTGGATATTCTACTGCTGGGCTTCCCATCAGCATCCAGGTGAGTATTGTCTCTTTGTGAATGCTGGGTCACAAAATCCCCAGCTGGCTTTGTCCTAAACCACTATAACCACAGCATACTTGAGGAGTTGGCAGGTATTGGTAACAAAAGTTTTAACTTGTGGGCGAAGAGATTTGCCTCAGAGTAACTCACTCCTGCATGGCAGAGAGACTCTTCAGGTATCTGGGAAACAGATTTCTCTTTCTCCCTGTCTACTTGCATCTGTACCCAATATTTGTCACTACTCTTTCCTCTCTTTTTCTCATTTCTGTAACTTTAGAAGGCCTTCCATCTTGAAATGGGTCTCATGTAAATGAAAGGTCCCTGTCTTGTAATTAAAAGTCACACAGCTGCCTTTATCCCAAATGCAGTAATGCCATACTTACTGGAGTAAAAGGGAAAAGCATGTGTCCTTTAGGTGCTGTTGGAGGGGGAAAAAAATTACGTTTTCCAGGGCTTTCAAGAGCATCTGTACATGATGATGGATGATGGTACTTTTTGGGGTTTTTTTTGGTTTTGGGGTTTTTTTTCTTTCCCCTCTTCCTTTCTCTCTGCCTCTCCAGGTCATGGCAAAATGGTGGGATGAAGCTGTTCTCCTGAGGATTGGCCTGAAGCTAGAGCAGTTCCGTTACCAGACCAAAAAACCATCCATTTATTACGACATCCTTGCATGACAGAGTGACCAAGATGGGGAATGTCTCTTTTTTTCCTAGTTTGACCTGACCAAGTATTAGAGTGGACTTGTTTTCAATGTTCATCTGACTAAGGCTTAGTAGCAGGCCTGGTTGAGGATTGGAGAAGAATGGGGAGGCACTGATGCTGAGCAGACATAATTTCTGCTCCCTGTTTGTTATTGAATGGTGTAGTTTATACTGGGGAGTCCAACTGCACTAGCTAGTTCTTCACTGTGTTTTTGCCATAGGGGAAGCTGCAACTACCTTCTGCAACTTCTTTCCTGGTAGGGGTCTTGTGTAAAGACAGGAAGACAACTGCAGTGACAGGACTGCATGTGGACAGTTCATACTACTGTGTGGAATGGTACAATCTGTAGATCTTAAACCTTCTCACAGAACTCCTCCTGCTCCAGGCTATAACAAAGGTACTGTTTTGAGGGGGAGAGGTAGCAAATAATGCCTAGCTCCCTTGGAATGAGGAGGACCTTCACACACCTACCACTAGGTGTTGTGTGTTTTGGCCCCTAGAAAGCTACAGGCTTTCTATTTTGTTCTGAGGGACTATGGAAGTGTCACTGTGCTTCTGTCCCTTTTGCTGCAAACCGTCTAAGGTCAGTCTGTTACACAAAGTATGAGTGTGCTCGCTGTGCAAGTAGTTCTACCTACCTCCAGCCTTACATGCAAGGGGAGGAAAAAGCAGAGTGTGAACCCTCATCAGCTCTGTGACCCAAAGCCCTGGTTCAGGGTTCTGGCTTTCTGTTGCACATCTCTATTTCCCAATAGAGGAAGCTTGGAGAGCTGCTTTTCTCCCACTGGTTGCTTTAGTATAAGCCTACTATCATTTAGGTGTCCAACTGGAAGAAACTACTTCATAATACTGTGAAATACTGTTTAAGGGGTGCTGAGGCAGCTATTACAAATAGGTAAAACTTGTTAGGAAATGCTACTGCAAGAATTGAAACTGGGTGCAAGAAAGGTGTTGCACAAAGCCATATCCAGCAAAGAGCCTGCTCTAGATAAGAAGCCAGCCCCCTCTTATCCCAAATGGACTTCCTGAAATAATCAAGGTAGAATTAAGACATGGATTAAAGATGAGGCTATCCTACATTAAGCATGACATGGCTCTAAGCCACAATATTGTGTTTCATTGAAAGACCCCAGACTGTAAACTTGCCAAGCATCTGTGTGCTGCTGGCAGCACTAGGGCCACGTGAAAGGTAAGAAAAGTCCCAGGAGTACCCAAAGCTAAGCACATGCTTGGTTTGGAGTAGCTTGCAGTAAATGCTCAGAGGCATCTCCTGTTGCCTACCTCATCAGCTATCCTGGGTTTGTCATCAGGCTGCTGGAGAAGCTGTCCTTCAGCAAGGAACAGAGAAGATCCCTGTGTTCTTTCTTAGCTTGGAAGGAAAGAAGGAACAGAAAGTAGCTGCAGTTTCTCCCAAACTCTGTACAGTTTGGTTCCCCCCCCCCCATACATATCCACTCCTTAAATGGAGCTAGCACTTTACTAATGGCTAGAGTTAGGGCAGATGGCATCTGAATGTAAGAACATTGCATTGCAGTCTCCTCCTTAATTACTTGAGTTAAAGCATCAACTATCATCAGCTGTCACCAGCATCCACAATTAAATTCATTATAGGGTTGATATTGTCTTTTATCTTCAATTCCTCTATGGTGATACTGCCACAACTATTTTTTCACTAGATTGTAGAATAGTTCAGCTTTATGAAGAAAAGTTTAAAAGCACAGTATTTCCTCTATTATTAATGATGAGTTATTAAACACTGCCAACATATCTTAGAGTGGAACACTGCTGAAATGCATTGTATAGCAATAAGGGAGTTGGTAAGTGTTTGACAAGAATAAATTCCTGTCAGGAGCATTACTGCTTGAAGGAAATAGCTGAATATTCCCTAATTTAATGCTACTAATTAAGGGATTAGAGATGGATGTTTAAAATATTCAGTTACCATCCTGCTAGATTAAGCTATTTATTTCAAGTCCCTTCCCCAAATCATACACTACCCTAAAATGATAATTTCAATATTTAGTTCATTGTCTGGGCAGAGTGAGGAAGCTCAGGTTGCTAGGGGATGAGATAGGAGTAAAGAGTGTTATTTTTTTAATAAAATCATACTTGCATCCTGGTAACAGTAGGAAGAAGAAAGGAGAGCTTTTACTGACTGACAGTAACAGTCTGCCTTTCTGCACCCTGCTTCCTCCCTTTCCCTAAACCGCTATCATATCAGTGCCTATTTCCAGTGCAAGACTTCCCTCGTACTGAGGTTACTAAGATAAACTTTACTCATCCTGGTGAAAGGTCCCCATGTTTCCTTTCTTCCCCTGGCCGTTAGCTTATCCAAGTTCTACATCAGACCAGTTCCTAATTAACAGCAGTTCCATCCCCACAGTATGCAATAGCAAGGCAGTTGTGTGAGCAAAGCGGACACAGTGACCACACACACAATGCTGTTGCTTCACATAGATATATGTATGGGTATAGATATACGGTATATACACATTGATTTTTTTTTATATATATATAAAATAACACCTTGTTTATAAAGCGACATTTAATTGCCACTGGTTCCCTTCCCACCCCACAGAAACAATAGTATACAAAATATAAAATATTTTAAATATTTATAAACGCCGCAAGAAAAAAATAGAACTGTACGAAAATATCTTTTTTCTGAGGTTCCCTCCCTGCCCTGTGGGAAGGGAAAAAAAAACGTTTGGCCAGCCTAGTGTGCCTTGAGTCCATAGTTGTTAAGTGGGTAGGAGTATGCCCTGCCTAATACTATCCGGTCCCGAAGGAGCTTAAATAAGACGTAATAATTGCAGAAAAGGATGAGAGCCATGGAGAGGGTGTGGTTCCACTTCTCTGAGCGCAGCAGTGAGTAGAGCTGGTAGCAGACAACACTGCCTTCAATGAGAATCAGCAGGTTGAGCAGCCGTAATGGACGGTGAAAAAGGAACTGCAGGGAAACAGTTAAAAAGGACAGATTTATGTAACTTGTTGTAGCGTTAAAGTGGGGAATTAACAGTGCTAATGCTGTCAGCCACCACTGTGCTGGGCAGAAGAAATGTTTCTACTCCAACCACCATTAGCTGCTACTTAGGGAAAGCAGCACAAGAAACAAGGCCATGCAGAAGTGTAATTTTGCTTGAGAAGGGGAGGTTGAGTGAAATAACCTATTGGCCAACTGACATACTTGCCCATTTCGCTGGAAGATGTTAACTAGAATCCCCGTAAGAATATGTTACTGCCTGATCAGAGAGCTGTGTCACCGTGATGGGAAAGCACTGACAAGGCGGCTATGGCTTCTATCTTGCCCAGACATCACTGTAATACTGCAATGGGAAAGCCCCTCTGCTGCAAACAGGTATTTTGTTTAGCAGCAACAGGCTGCTGTGCAGCGCTGAACTCTATTCTGCACAATCTGCTCTGCTGCAGCTAGGCTAGAGCCTCTCCCCCTCCCACAATTGTAACACGTCAAGCAAGAGAAGAGATACTTGCATAAAAGCGGGCATGGGACACGTCTGAAGGCACTGCTACGTTGTAAGGCCCAACTGCTTTATACAGGCATCGGCTACGTCGCACCAGAACTCCTTGTGGCCATATTGTGTTTTCTGACCAGCTGTGGGGAAAGAATGCCAGAGCATTAGCATCTGTGATCCTGAATCCCTGAAAATCATAGGAATAGACTGCATCTTGAAAATACACCAAAGCCTCTACCATAAGGACATGTCTGAGCTCCCACTGGAGAAGCACACAAAGGTGATCACAAGCCCGCCTGATGGACTCTGACCAAGTAATGTAAACAAATGGCTCCCAGTGTGAGAACCTAGACCACAGCGTCTGAGGGGGTCACCCCCAGCTAATTCTCCCGTGGCTGAGAAGAATCTCGGCGTTTGTTTCTGGGAAGGAACCAGCAGTGACTGGAGGAGCTCAGACAGCTCTTTAGAGCAGATGTTTCTGTTTCTAGGGAACAGACCAGCAAAGTAGCATGGGGAACGGAGAAGTGTCCTCAGTAGATAAGCACTGCTGATACTTGCTTATCTACTAGAATGCCTTCTTGGCCCCTTGCGGGGCATGCCAACCCCTCCTCACCCCCACACTCACATATGCTGTGGAGCATTGCTGTAGGAACCATGTTCTAGTTTCTGCCACTTGCCGAGGTGGGCAGCTGATCTGTGGAGCAGGTCACAGTACTTGGGAGGCAGCAGCTGAGTGGTGAGCATGACAAAGGCATTGATCCACACCATGATGAGATGCTCACAGGACCAGCGCATGTCGTAGTACTGAGTGCTCTGAAAAAAGACCAGACAAGAACTGGGCACCACTGTCACAAAAAAGAGGAGGGAATGACAAGGGACGTACTGCATGTGCATCCAGCAGACCCACACCACACATTACAGGCATGCGCTTTTGGACCAGTGATTTCAGAGGGTTACAGCTTAGGAAACACTCAAGACTCCCTTCTCCTTGACCTGAAGGAGAAAAGGCAGGGGGATGATGCTGCAGCTGGTGCATCTCCTCCTCCAGCAGCAGATAACAAGGGGATTTGCTTTCCACAGAACTAGCCCAGGAGCACCACTTGCACCAAGACTGCTACATGGATTGTGGAGCCCTGTCCATTTCACTACACCAACTGGAGCTCATTCAAGTTAGAAAAAAGACAGATTGAAAAATACAACCCCCACATTAACAAGACATTCTTGGATTTAGCTTGCCAAGCGTCCTAGTTGGCTCTGTTTTCCAACAGGCTGAACACCAAAGCCCCTGATCCAAGCACTCGAAAGCCAGGATGTTGGATCTGAGACAGGTAACAACAGGTTCCCTTTTCTAAGAAGAATACAGCTATCCATTTGCCTAGGACAGGGGGTGGGAGAAGGGGAGTTAGTAAGTGGGGTGATGGGACTAGAGGTGCATCACATTTATGGCAATACCTATCCGCCAACCAGGAGCAGTACTAGTGCCCTCCGGATGCAGCCATGCTCCGCTATCCGGGCTGCCAAAGGGGAGACAGAGAAAAGGGGAATTAACCAGGAATCTGGCCTGGCAGCAATTCACACAACATTCAGAAGGAGACGGCGGGCAGGGGCACAGAGAGAGCCAGACAAGAGCTACCTTCACAAAACACAGTGGCAGGGAAGGCCCGTAGTAGGCACTCGAGAGAGAGGTG